GTTTTTCAGTGTTTTTATGAGTGATGGTTACTCGTTGGCCTGAGAGGTGTCTTGTGTCCAAATTTGGTGTCAGTTCGTCCAGTGATTTTTGAGTTCTGTTAATCCCACAAACGAACATTACATTTTTATTTATATGGATATTACATGCAATATGAATAATAAAAAAACTTTATTTATACCCCGCCACCATCTCCCCGAAGGGACTCAGGGTGGCTTACATGAGGCCAAGCCCGTCAAATACAAATGCAACAGATACATCAACAAATACAACAGATACAATACATCAACAGAGCAAACAAGCAAATAAAACGATATAAAAACATAACTAATATTACAATATAATGGTATAGTACGATATAGTAATATTGTAAGACTGTAGGATCTAGATAGCAATATTAAATAACCACTCACAAGCTGTTTTGCTTTGAAATGGATAGATTGCTTGTATCTCTGCAGCAAAGAAAGACACTACTGACTTCTTCCCACCACCACTTCCTTTTATACACCTTTCCTGCCCATCTCCTCCTCTTCTCAGTTTCCTTATTAGTACTTGTTGCTTCACAAATTTCAATACAAGGTTTCCAGTGTCCTCTGCTGGCTTCAAAAGTTCACAGAGAGAGAATTGAGGCAGCCAGGATGATTCAGTCAGGATGTCGCGGAGGGAATTTGTGATGTCTTCATGCCATCAGAAATCGATTCCTGACAAATATTTAATACTGATATTGTACTATGCTAATAATATATATTGTATGTGTATATCTTGTAAGCCTCTCTGAGAAGGGCGACATATAAAGGTCGTAAATAAATAGATAAATAATAGGCCTGTTTGATCAAGAAAAAATTTGTTTCTAAAATCGATTTGTAATTGGGGTGTTTTTTTGTTTCGATATTTAAAATAATTACAAAACTTTCCCCCAAAAAAGTTTTGGTATTTAAGAAATTTTGTAAATATTAACGAATTTTTAGAATATTTTTTGTATTTCTTAAGAATAATATTAAAATAATATTAAAAAATATTTTAAAATGGAAAATTAACCAAAAAATGGCCCAAATGTGGACCAAACACAGGCAGGATATAGCAAATGAGAGCACACACCAACAGAAGAGTCTTTTCTTTTTTAGAATATTTTTTAAGAATAATATTAAAAAATAATACTAAAAAATAATACTAAAAAATAATATTAAAAATAATATTAAAAAATAATATTAAAAATAATACTAAAAAATATTTTAAAATGGAAAATTAACCAAAAAATGGCCCAAATGTGGACCAAACACAGGCAGGAGACAGCAAATGAAGCAAGCAGCACTCACAGCAGCAAGGAATGAATCCAATCCCAGTTGCTAGCAGCCAAGCCAACCCAATGCAAACTCCCTCGCCCTCTGCAGCAAGCTACGGGCCGCGCGGAGCCGCTTTGAAAGGGCTCGCCGGCCAATCAAAAAGGGACAGCCACGGACCCATGGTGCACTGCTTGGGTGCGCCGGATTGGCTCCCAGGCACCAGCAGCCTGCACCCCAATAACGAAACGGGCGGAAGCTCGTAAAATCTATGGGGTTGCCGCCTCGTTATTTTTAAACCCTTCCGGGTTTGAAAAAGTGCTTCAATATCGCTTCGGAAATGCCAAAAATAACGAATTAATAACGAATTAACGAACGAAATCGCACAGGCCTAATAAATAAATATGATACATTTATATTAATAATCTATCTATGTCTATACATATAATAAAAGTCAAAGTTTGTATGCGGCGGTGCGACCGGGTATGTGCCAGCGTTCTGATTGGCTGCCACTGTGGTGCTATTTGCATATGGTCTCTGATTGGCCAACTTCAACAAGAGCCCCTGGTGGAGAAAAGGGTTCATGACAGAAACGGAGACATGAGAGAAGGAAATTTGCATATGGTCTCTGATTGGCCAGCCTCAATTCCAAGATTCCGAGATGACAAAGAGAGGAAAGGAAAAGGCCAGGGACTCTCAGAAAATTACCAATACAGACCAAACTTGGCACACAGAGCCCCCATGACCCACTCTACATCCTACTGCAGTTTGGAGGAGGATGAACCATGGATGATGGGACTTGCAGTACCATCACTCACATTCTGAGACCGCTGTTAATCTCATCCAATGACAGATCAGGACCATACTTGGCACATAGACCTCTCATGACCCACTTTACGTCCTGGTGTGGTTTGGCCATGGATGGACCATGGATTATGGGACTTGCAGTACCTTTGCTCAGTTCTTGAGACCACTGCAACCCTCATCCAATTACCGATAAAGACCAAACTTGGCACACTGAGTCTCCATGATGCACTCTAAATCCTGGTGCAGTTTGGAAGAGGATGCACCATGGACGATGGGACTTGAAGTACCTTCACTCACTTCCCAAGACCGCTGCAACCCTCATCCAGTGATTGATCAAGACCAAACTTGGCACACAGAGCCCCCATGACCCACTCTACATCCTGGGGGTGTTTGGAGGACGATGGATCATGGACGACGGGACTCGCATTACCTTCACTAACTTCCTGAGAGCACTGCGAGCCACATAAATAACTGATAAAGATCAACCTTGGCACACAATTCCTTTCTCAAATAACACGGGCAGCGCCGGGTCCCAAAGCTAGTATATAATAAAAGATTCCTCCCACTTCCTGTTATCTCAGCCCCATTGTTCTTATCTGTGAGTCATTTGCAACTCGGGGATGGCCTGTATATAACTAATATAATAATAATACTATTAATAATAATAATAATATCCCCTTTTCTTCTTTTCCCCCTCAGGAACAGTTCCTTCAGGAGCGCATCAAAGTCAACGGGAAAGCTGGGAACCTGGGCGGGGGCGTCGTGACCATCGAGAGGAGCAAGAGCAAGATCACCGTCACCTCCGAGGTCCCCTTCTCCAAAAGGTGAGGTGTCCCCAAATTCGGAAAATATTCCGATCCTGGTTTGCAAGTGTTATTCCCGTTTCGTTGTGCCATTATTATAGTTAATATTATTATGTTATATACTTATATGCAATTATACTATTATTGATATTATATTATTATATATACTTATGCAATTATACTAGTATTATTTTTATTTTATATATTTAATAATTATTGCTGTTATTATAGTTAATATTATGTTATATACTTATATGCAATTATACTATTATTGATATTATATTATATATATACATATGCGATTATACTAGTATAATTTTATATTTTTATTTTATATACTTATATGCAAATATAGTATTAGTATTATATTATTACATATATGTAATTACACTATTATTACTTTATATGCTTATAATTATATGTAATTATTTATATTATATTTTTATATACAATTATACTATTATTGATATTTTATTATATATACTTATGCAATTATAGTAGTATAATTTTATATTATTTTTATTTTATATACTTACATGCAAATACACTAATAATATTATATTATAATATATACTTATCTGTAATTGTACTATTATTGTTTCATATGCTTATAATTATATGTAATTATTATTTATATTATAATTTTTATAGTATAAATATTTATTTATATTGTATTATATATACTTATGCAATTATACTAATATAATTTTATATTATTTTTATTTTATATACTTATACGCAAATATACTTGTAACGAAACGGCTACCAGGTGGTAAAAGATCGCCACCAATTAGTGAGGAAGACCCTTAGGTTTAGGAGAGAGGAGCCAC